AAAAAAAAAAAAAAAAAAAAGAGGAGAACCAGGTGCTCTCTAACTTAAAGAACTGGCTTTATGTTAGACCTGTGACTGTTGGCAATGTGTCCGGGGTCAGTCTGGGCCATGTGTGCTGGGAGGGACTCGGGAACCTTGTGCAGTGGTTTCCAGGTAGTGATTATTCCTCCATCCCTTCATTCCATAATTATTTATCGATGGCTTACTATGTGCTAGGCACTGTGCTAGAGCAGGAAACTTTACCAGGAAGCCACCCTTGCAGAGCTCTCAGTCCAGTGGGGGAGAGAGATAAACAATCACTATACAGAGAAGTGTGACACGTACTGACATATGGGAAGAACAGTGGAAGAACAGAATGCTATGAAAGCACACAGCATGCGTACGAACCTTTGGGTAGAAATGAGATAGGACTAGGTACCAGGTATCCAACACCAAGCTGAAATCAAGGGGCAGGGTGAGGCCACGGAAAGAAGCAAGGAAGAGTGAGAATTTCAATGCGCTAGGCCTTAGAGAAATTTTGCTAGGCAGATGGATTATTCCAGACATTCCTTTATTACCACTTGTTCTATGTGTAGGTGTTTGTCTTTGCACTTAAGGAAGCAGAATAGCTTCTGGAGCAATTAAATTAAATTCTGAATATAGTCAAATCCCTGGCTTATTCCTGGTAAATCTAGGAGCCAAACTGTCCTGTTTTATGATCTCACAGTCTTGACCCACTCCCAAGGGTTGAAATCACAGTAGCATGGTTTTTGGTCTATACCACAAGTTCTTGGGAATAAGCCACTAAAACCCTGGTTGAAAAAAGCAGTGATCTGTCAGTTCTTAGAGGAGAAAGATGAAGGATTCAGGCTCTGAAGATGATTCTGCTCCTCTTCCCTCCCCTTCCCAACCCAGGTGATCATGGTAACGGGAGATCATCCCATTACAGCTGAGGCCATTGCCAAGCGTGTGGGCATCATCTCAGAAAACACCGAGACAGCAGAGGAAGTTGCTGCCCGGCTGAGGATCCCTGTCAGCAAGGTTAATCCCAGGTGAGATCACTGAAGAACTCAAGCTCTGCCAAGTTCCCTCCATCCCCAGCCTGCCCCACCCAGACGCCGCTTTACTAAAGTTCCTGGAGTCTCCTTCAATAGCAAGGATGTGTGGGGTTTACACATTACAAAGTACAACATACTAGGAAAGTAAAGTGAATATGTCAGTGGGTTTTCAAAGGAAGCAAGACAAAGAAAGAGGTAACAGAGGAGTGGTTGGCAAAAGTAGAGGGAAGGAATAGAATGTGTCAATTTGGGGACAATATAGGGCTGGGGACAAGTGAAGATACTAGGTTGAAAGAAGAAACGATGCAGCTAGGGCCAGGCGTGGTGGCTCACGCCTGTCATCCCAATACTTTGGGAGGCTGAGGCAGGTGGATCACGAGGTCAGGAGGTCAAGACCAGCCTGGCCAAGATGTTGAAACCCTGTCTCTACTAAAAAGAAAAAAAATACAAAAATTAGCCGGGCACCGTGGCTGAGGCAAGAGAATCGCTTGAACCGGGGAGGGGTGCGGGGAGGCAGAGGTCGCAGTGAGCCGAGATTGTGCCATTGCACTCCAGCCTGGGTGACAGAATGAGACTCCATCTCAAAAACAAACAAAACAATGAAGCTATAGTCAAGATTGGCACCAACACCTCTGGTGAACTCTCAACACCCGAAACTAGCCTTTTGAAGTTCTTTTCCCTCAGGGATGCCAAAGCCATTGTGGTGCATGGTTCACAACTAAAGGATCTACACTCAGAGCAGCTTGACCAGATCCTTCGGAACCACACTGAGATCGTGTTTGCTCGGACCTCCCCTCAGCAGAAGCTCATCATTGTGGAGGGATGTCAGAGGCTGGTAAGGAAAAGGAGCTCCGAAAGGGCGTGGCGGCGCACACCTGTCATCCCAGCACTTTGGGAGGCCAGAGCAGGCAAATCACCTGAGGTCAGGAGTTCAAGACCAGCCTGACCAACATGGAGAAACCCCATCTCTACTAAAAGTACAAAAAAAAATTAGCTGGGCATGGTGGCGCATGTCTGTAACCCCAGCTATGCGGGAGGCTGAGGCAGTAGAATTGCTTGAACACAAGAGGTGGAGGTTGCAGTGAGCTGAGATCGTGCCATTGCACTCCAGCCTGGGCAACAAGAGCAAAACTCCATCTCAAAAAAAAAAAAAAAAAAAGCCCTGAGGAAGCTGGCAGAAAGCCTGTGGCTTAGCCTGGTTCCAAACCAAGCAGAGGAACATGTGGGCTGGGCTAGAGGAGACTCCAGGGAGTACCCTATCTTGAACCCCCATGGTGGCCTTCAATTTGGGGGCTCCCTGAGAGTTTAAATATCTCAGGAGGACTGGGAGAAGGACGGGAGCCCTAGATCAAGCATGATTACATTAGGAACAAGGCATGCAGAAATTGAACTGATCTTTGGGACTCGTTCTCGATCTGATGCAATAAATTTTTCACTCCCTCTGTCTGGACTTCCTCAGGGAGCCATTGTGGCCGTGACGGGTGATGGGGTGAACGACTCCCCAGCACTGAAGAAGGCTGACATTGGCATTGCCATGGGCATCTCTGGCTCTGACGTCTCTAAACAGGCGGCCGACATGATCCTGCTGGACGACAACTTTGCCTCCATCGTCACGGGGGTGGAGGAGGGTGAGGAAGTAGGGTTCCCAGGGTTGAGACTTCAACCTTGGACTCAGGTTGGGGTTGATATATATCCCCTCTTTCCATTTTCCCATCATCCAACCTCCATGAGCCTGTACGGGCTCAGAAGAAAGGCAAAATTTTGCAAATTAGATCAGCTGGTACATGGAACATCACTATCTGCAAACTCTTTTGATGAGATCAGAGAAAAGTCCACTTTGTTCATTTCATTTTCCTATCAAGGAGACTGGGACTCTGGTGTAACATAATATCTTCATAGTCCTCTCACTGGAATTCAAGTAGGTCCACAGCAAGTCCAAGATGAAGCCACACCCCTGGGACTATTCCATGTGCCACAGTCTTTGGGAGGGTCCCCAAGGAACCTGTCGCCTAAATAATGGTGACACATCAGGATCAGCTAGAGCTTGACCTCTGATTTGACTGCATGAGCCCAATTACACACCCTCTTTCCCAGAGAATTCTGAAGAGAATACCCTCTGGAGAACAGGAGAGACCCAGAATTCTGCATTCCAGGCTCCCCGCTTTCTGCCTGGAGCTCTCTTACTAAAACATATGGCAATCCGCATCATAACAATGGCTACCATTTTATTGAAACCTTGTATAATCCTGACACTTTGCCTGGTATTTTATACCCATTCAGTTCAGCAAGTTCGTTTGAATACTGATTATGTGGGAGGCACTAGGCTTGATGCTGGTATACAACAGTAGGGGGACCAAACAACACAAATCCCTGCCCTCATGTAACTTCATTTCTAGGGGGGATGACAGATAATAAAGTAAGTAAGGTATTTGGTATGTTAAAAGGAGATACGTGCTATGGGAAAGACCAAGCAGCAAGTGCAGAGAGGGTTTCCCATCTTTGAAAAGGCAGTCGGGGATGGACGCAGCAATCTTCCAAGGCAGGAGGAATGAAGCTCACAGAGGTCAGGGCACCCAAGGTCACAGCGAGCTACGGCAGAAGATGGGATTTGAACACAAGCCTGTCCCAAGCCCCGGCTCTTTCCATTTCAGCCTTAATCTTGTAAAGGCTTTTATACTGGCATTCCCAGACACTGCAGGATTAACCAGGCCCAACCCTGCTCATTTTCAGAGATCAGATAACGTTAGCTATGGTGAATCCAAGAACAAAGAGTACACAGTCAGGGCACAGCTCTAATTAAAAGGCACACAGTTTAGAAACAACACTGGGACCTTTGAGGTCCAGGACCTCCAGACCCTTTCCTGGATGGTGACACTTCTTTGAGGTGGCCTCTCTGTCCCGGAGCTGGTTTGAGGGAGGTTTGTTCTCCCAGGGCTTCTCACAGAAGGTTGACCTTCCTCCCCAGGCCGCCTGATCTTTGACAACCTGAAGAAATCCATCATGTATACCCTGACCAGCAACATCCCAGAGATCACCCCCTTCCTGGTGTTCATCATCCTGGGTATACCCCTGCCTCTGGGCACCATAACCATCCTCTGCATTGATCTCGGCACTGACATGGTAAGGTCCAAGCTGGTGAGCAAGAGATTCCCAGAATCCTGCCTCCCGAGCTCCCTGCTTTCTGCCTGGAGCTCTTACTAAAACTCATGACAAACCCACTTATGAGCCGGCTCTCACACCTCCTGAGAGATGGATTGAGGCTGAGTCAAGACAGAAGGGTAGAGTCGAATTACTGCCGAGTTTCCTTCTGAACTTTGTGACCCCTGTCATCCCCGCCCTCCATCCTCCAGGTCCCTGCCATCTCCTTGGCTTATGAGTCAGCTGAAAGCGACATCATGAAGAGGCGTCCACGGAACCCAAAGATGGATAAACTGGTGAACCGCCGTCTCATTAGCATGGCCTATGGACAGATTGGTGCGCCCAGAGGAATGAGGGGTGGAGGGAAAGGGAGGGGTTGCCCCTGCCTGGCAATGTGAGCCATCTCAGCTTGGAAGTCAGGGAGATATTTTCTCAGCAACAAACTGTGCTAAGCCCTGAAAACACAAAGAAACACTCATCTCTGATCTGCCCTTGACTTACAGTCCAGTACAAAAGGAACAAACATGCATAACATGACAGCATCTCCAAGTGCCAAGTAATGGGTATAGACAGAACATGTTACAGGATTACCAAGCAAGCAGGCTCACCAATTATGAGGATAGCCAGAGAAGCCTTACGCAGGAATTAGGACTTAAACTTGGTGTGGGAGGGTGGGGTTTAGACTAGGAAGTGTATGGTCAGGTGTGGGAGACCAGAGGAGTAGGGAATTTCATATGGCACAGTTAGAGAAGTGTGAATAAGCCAGGTTGGTTGAGCCCTTAGTCTTTATAAAGCAGTGGAAATAAGACGGTGGACACAAATATCATTTGTGCTGGGGTCAGCCTTGACAGACACTTGAGAGTCTGTAGAAGTCCTTGTTCTTGAGTTGCCAGGTACAATGGTATTTGAGAAAATAGGGTGAGTGATGAGCAGGTAAGAGACTGGGGACAAGAGAGATCATCACGGACCAGGCACGGTGGCTCATGCCTGTAATCTCCACACTTTGGGAGGCTGAGGTGGCAGATCACCTGAGGTCAGGAGTTTGGGACCAGCCTGGCCAACATGGTGAAACACCCCGTCTCTACTAAAAATACAAAAATTAGCTGAGTGGTGGCAGACATCCCTGTAATCCCAGCTACTCAGGAGGCTGAGGCAGGAGAATCGCTTGAAACGGGGAGGCGGAGGTTGCAGGGAGCCAAAATCATACCACCACACTCCTGCCTGGGCAACAAGAGCAAAACTCTGTTTCAAAAACAGAGAGGCAGAGAGAGATCATCCCAATATCTTGGGGAGAAAACACATGGGGAAAGCTTTAGGAGTTAGACTTGTGTTAGACTCTCATTTCACCCTTGCTAGCCATGTGACCCTGGATAATGACTGAATCTGTTTTTGTGCTTCGGTTTTCCCACTTATGACATACAGATAATAGAATTGTTTTGAGGATCTATGTCCACAAGGTGCTTTCCCAGTGCACGGCTCCGTAGTTAGTCGGCGAACATTAACATCAGATATTGCTTGTGGTCCAAGCATGGAACAGAGGTTTTGACTAAGGAAGAGGCCAGGACAGACAGTAGAGATGTGAGAGGACAGGACTTGATGAGTGTCCAAATGACAGAGGAAAGGGAGAGGAGTCCAGCATTCACCAATAGAGAGAGAAGGCCAGGCATGGTGGCTCACGCCTGTAATCCCAGCACTTTGGGAGGCTGCGGGGGACAGATCACTTAAGCCCAGGAGTTCGAGACCAGCCTGCACGACATGGCAAAACCCCATCTTCTACAAAAAAATATGAAAATTAGCTGGGCATGGTGGCACACACCAGTCCCAGCTCTCAGGAGGCTGACGTGGGAGAACACCTGAGCCCAAGAAGTCAAGGCTGCAGTGAGCCGTAATCGTGCCACTGCGTTCCAGCCTGAGCAAAAAAATAAGATCCTGAAAAAAAAAAAAAAAAAAAAAAAAAAAAAAAAATGGGAGAGGGAATCAGTGGCGTCAAAAACGCTATTTAGTTTTAAGATTATGTGATTCAAAGCTGACTCTGGGTCAGAGTTCAGAAACAAATGTCAGGGCTTGAAGGGAAGTCCCACAGAGATGACAGGCACAGGTGGCTGATGGCAAGACTTTTCCACATTACCCTCCAGACACACACCAGCCCAGCTAGAAGCAAGTCCCAGCCCCCAACCCTCTCCTGGCCTGCCTTTTGCAGCCACCCTTCTCTGAATCAGGTTTCCCTGTCCTGCAACTCTGTCATCCACAGGGATGATCCAGGCTGTGGCTGGATTCTTCACCTACTTTGTAATCATGGCTGAGAATGGTTTTAGGCCTATTGATCTGCTGGGCATCCGCCTCTACTGGGAAGATAAATTCTTGAATGACTTGGAGGACAGCTACGGACAGCAGTGGGTAAGTAGAAGAGATAAGGTAGGAGTAAGAATGACAGGGGAGAGTGGGCCTAGCAAATGTTTTAAGAGGGAAGAAGGGAAGCAGACAGCTGATCTCTCGTTCAGTCCTGTATGAGCGTTCTCACGTTTGCCCTCAGTCTCCAGCCACAACAGCAAATCCTCTTCTGTTCACCACAGGCTCACTCTGTTGGCTCTTCCTGTCTGTTGTCTGGCCCTGCCTTTCTGGGTCCTTTGGCTCCTTGGAGTCTTTGTCATATCAACTTTTCTGAGCCGATTTCTGTTGTCCTAGGTTTTATCCCAGAAATAAATGCTGTGTGCTCTCCTGTTATACTCTCTCCCTCCATGAGAGTTCAAATGATATGATTTAAAATCTGCAAACCAGCCAGGCGCAGTGGCTCACGCCTGTAATCTCAGCACTTTGAGAGGCAGAGGCAGGCAGATCAAGAGGTCGAGAGATCAAGACCATTTCTAGTTAGGGATGTGGAGTGGGATGGGGGACAGATAATAACCAAATATATAATATATGTCATCAAAGGATCGTAAGTCTAAGGGGGTCCGAGAAGTGTTGGAACCAGGGCACTAGAGTAAGATGGAATTATAAAAATGGTGGTCAGAGAGAGTAAGATGCTTGAAATTACAGAGAAATCATAGGTATTGGAAAGGATACTATCTAGAGTTTAAGGACGGGAGGAAGCAGCCCAGGTGGGGAGTGGAGGACAATATCATGGGAGGAGAAGATCAAGGAACTGTGAGACCACAGCATTGGAAGGATCATCAACACGGACATTTCAATCTCCAAAAATAAGGACAGAAGTAATACCAGAGTAACAGTGTCAGAAGCTAAAATCTTCAAGAAGTGATAGGGAGTGACGCAGGTAAGGCAACTGACTGTGATGGACAGTGGTGGGATGATCCGATGCACGCAAACGTGCTGACTGGTCTTACCTAAGTTCCATGTTCGGCTCATCAGTTTCTAGCCTCTGTCTTCTACTGTTTAAGGGTCTGTATTTCTCTCCAAGTACAACTTTACCACATTCCATGGGGGTTGATATGTAGTATTTCGTTATTGTGCAGTCATATGTATTTTCAAACGTATTCAATCTACGGGTTATTTATAAACACACTGTTTTAGTTTTTAAAACCTAAGTTTTTTCTCCAATCTAATTTAGATGCACCTTTTCTGTGTTCCCATAGCCCTCTGCGATCTCTCTTTTTAACCTATCTATTGTGCTGACATAGTTAGCATATCTATTTTCCCCACTAGACTCTAAGTTCCTTATGTGTAAAGTGTGAATGAAAGAACAAACAAATGAATGAATGTCTCCCATCTGGTACCACCCTTTAAGTCCACCTTCTTCTCCTACCCCATCCTTCTCATTAATTCAATACATATTTATTGAGCCATGCTACACGCCATCCACTGAACTAAGCAGAGGGAGAGGACATAAAGCTAAATAAGGCAAGTGCTTGTCCTTGAGAAGCTTTCAGGTGGGCAAGGAAAGCATAAACAAATCATAATACAACACGAAAAGCGCTAAAGCAGAGGCATGTGTGAAGTGCTGTGGGGGTCTAAAGAGTGAGGACCTGACTCAGCCCAGGGGTCCTGGAAGGTGGGAGAGGGAAAAAGAAGCTGTAGGGTGTACGGAATCCCC